GCTTTTTGCAGAGGAAAGCTTCCATTTTATATTGATAAAGAGCTAAGTTCAGGAAATTTAAGATTTTCTGAAAGTACAGCTCTACAAACTTCATAGAGTAAATCACTACTTGAGTTTCAGAATTCTTAAAATATTCACACCCCTCTAATTTTTCTTGGAATTCCCTGGGAACTTTAAGAGGAGATGGCTTTTTAAATTTATTTTTAGGATCAGCTTTATCAATTTTAGACCTAAGAAATGTATTACACAACTGGGTCCAATGGTCAGACATGCTAAGCTCGTGACAAAGTAAAACAGGAACAGAAGGCTCTCCCTATTGATATGAAAGTATAATTTTTTTTTTATTTTACCAGTCCAACCTTTTAAGAAACAATTTCTCATCAAGAAAACCATTTTAATAATGAAGTTAATACAAATAAAGCCAAAGAGGAAACATTCACCTGAGTAGTCTTAAAGGTGGTTTTCTTTCCTTCATCACACAGCAATCTAAAAGAATTTAAGAATCAGAGATTTCTATTCAGGATGCACTTTGTGCAGTCATCACTTCAAATATCAAAGCATTACTGCTTACAAATCAGTAATTTAAATTTAAAGCCATAGCTAAAAATGTGGTGCTGTACCAAACCATATTTTTCATTCCACTTTTCCACTTGAGCTACCTTAAGTGCCATCCAAGGAGAAAAAGCACACCTGAGTGCTGCTACATTCACAAAAAACATCCAAGTACTAATGCAGCCTTCAACACTTCCAAGTTAGAGAAGCAAAAATGCTTTTGGTAGCTTGTGTAGAAAACCAGAAATATTTTCCAGGTCACTGTTCCTCTTCCCTTGCCACCTTCACACAGAAGTTCTGCAATATTTATTCCACTGATGCTGCTCTTTGGCCCATCAGCCTGCTCAGCACTGCAGTGCAAAACCCACCTGCTAATCCCAGGCAGTTTTGGTTTTGCCACCTCTCCATCCATCACTCCTGGTGAAGAGGATTTGCTCAGTCTCCTGGAAAGGTTTGTCTCCCCTCTGCCTTTTTGCAACCCTGCAAATGGGAATCCCGGGTGGCTCCTGCTAATTACCCACGTGCATTGGGAGTCTAATTCTTCCTATTGTTAATACACCCATCTTTAGCCACAAAGTCACTTCATATGCTAATCAGAGAGCAGCTGATCCCAGGCTAATATTTCATATACTCAGGAGAATGGATCTGCTGGGGGTATTAATGACAGCAGAGCAAGATGAGCTTAGAAAATAGTTCCCAAAAGATATTGTATCACTTCTAGTTCAACCCCCTAACAAATAATTTGCTTGTGAATGTGGAGCTTTGTCTCTTCCCTCCCCTGCAGAGGGAGACCACTTTACAGACAAGAGGAGACTGAAAAAATTAGACTTTTTTTCTTTCACAATGTTGGAATCTAATTTAATAGCTGTTAAGTCTTACCTAATTTTTCCATGTAAAAGTTTTTGTGTTTATGGGATGCTTGAAACATCAGTTTCAAGCTAAAATCAAGATGAGCATTTCTATGAATATTGAACAGTCGAGGACACTACCCAGTCCTGATGCTGAGAGCAACATAAAACAACTTGTGTTCCCCACAATATGCCATCCCATCAGCCTGATCTGTGGAAAAAACTGTGGCAACACAATGAAAAAAATCAGCATGCAAGTGTCTGAGGTAGAACAAGGTCTGAGAATGTCTTGAGCTGACACTGCTTCCACAGAGCTTGTTTATGGTCTGAGTGGACGTGACATTCCTCCTGAATCTCTTGAAATACAGAAGCTCCATCAAAATGTCAAGTCAGGACACCAGAACATGCAATGTCCCACATAAAATCCACACTGCAAAGATTTCTCATCATGGCTTTTTGCCTGTAAGACAACTCAATGTTTCCACTTGGTTAACAGTGTGTTCCAAGTCACTTTGAAGGTGCTTATGTGCAATATTGGGAACAGCCCTGTACATCTCAAAAGACAGGAATCAGCACAGTTTCCACAGCCTGCAGAAGTGCCCAGTGTGAATTCTCATTTCAAGAGCAATTTGCTCAATGGCAAAATAGAGCAGAGATTCAAGTTACCTGCACTATCTTCTTAGTAGAAGGAAAAAGTATCTATGAGATGAAAACACACAGCATTTTAAAGAAAATCAAGGAAAAATTATGGATTTCTGTTAGGTTTTTTTCCTCATTTTTTCTGAGAGTGTGAACAAGAAGTTCCTTCTTCAATGGGTTTCAAATTGTCACTCAAGTAGAAAAATCAAAAGCTGTGAGTTTTGTACATTATTTCCTCTAGTGAACTACCAGTTCAAGTCTCCATTATAAGATATTCATCTCATGTCTGAGTATTCTTCAGTTTTAATTCATGGCGCTGATCAAAGACAAAAGATCCTGCAGCTGTACAAAAGTTCAAACAGCTCAAAAAGCAGCAGACACATCCAGCTGTTTTGAGAAGCACCATGAGATTGCTACAAATCTGGGATTAAAAAATTCCCTTCATGTATCCAGAATGTTCAGCCATGGAGTAAACACCCACCCAAATGAGTGTCATGCACGTAATACAGATGTGACAGGCAACTGCAACAAACACACTGTACCACCTAAGTGTGTTTTAGATAGGAATAACATCAAGTTTAATGCATTTTATTGTCAGGGCTCAAAATCATATGCAGATCCTTCAAATACAAGTCATGTACATCCTTTCAAGGCCACACCTGCCCAGGTTTCAGTCTGTTGTCCCATGTATTTTAGCTGTAACACTGATACACTTGTCTTATACAAATGCTGACACAAATGTTGGCACAACCACAGCTCCAGGTCATGGCAGAGCAGTGAAATGTTCCACTCCCAAGTGATATCCATGGATCTCTGGGGGTAGGATAGAAAGCCACAAACATCCCCCCGACCTTCCTCTTAAAACAGCTTTGAAAGGATTTTATGCATAAAAGGCAGCTGGTTATGTTTTAACAGACTCTTGTGTAAACAGAAGTGCTCAACAGATGTGCAGCGCCTATCAGAGATGGTTATCAGCATCATTTTCATTTCCAGAGCCAATAAAACTGGACACCATGCCTATTCTCTCAGCCATTTACCTACCTCAGAAGATAAACTGGATTCATTAATATGTGCTATGGGATTGATAAAAACCTGATGTCAAAAGAATTGAGTATTAGAAAAAGAGAGAAATGAGACTGTCCAGCTACTGCAGCATTTCAGTCTGCAAATAGGCTCTTCACTGATCTGAAACTGCAAACAGACAAGTCAAAGTGAGGGGAGGGAAGGCAAAAAGACTCTGAAGCAGATTTATATTTAGCAGCAGGTTAGGTGGAGAGAAAAGGCTCAAGGACAATGGCAGATCTTTTCTTTCTTGAGCTAAACCCCCAATGCATTTTTGTAAAAGAAAGCAAGTCTTCTGCTTTTAACTGCAGCCCAAAACTGCATTATGGTTCCTGGGTGCTTTGATTTTTTTTTTCTTTACTTTCTAAATCTCAGCACACAGGCAGCTCCAGGGCTCAGTAGGAGAACTCTTAAAAGCAGGCCTGCAGAAGTGAAGAGATCAGTCATCCCCTTGTCCCCGTGCTCCTGGAGCTCCCCCGCCCAGGCAGCCGCAGATGAGATTTCACACAAACAGACAGGGCCTTTTTAAACAGCCTGAAAGATTTCAAATCCTCCAAGAGCAGGCAGAGCATTCCTTCTGATTGCAAAGAGAAACACTGAAATGTGCTTCAATTCTTCACAGAGGTCACGGTAACCTTCAAAATTCTATCAAACCTCTTCCCCCCTCCCCAGCTCTATTATCTTTACTAATTTGTAATGTTCTTTACAAAACATACTGGTGTTTCTCAGAACACAAATCCCAATGTGAACATGATGCAAGCAATCTTTGCTTAGTTAATTTTTCCTAGGCTGTTTAAAGTTTCCCAAGTCCAGATGTTTTTCCAACTGTCTTCCCTGTCCCATGACTGCAAAAACATAGGTTCTTAAGAATTACCATTTTATATACATTTTCAACTTACTCTGTGCTTCTCAGTCCATTTTTCCCAAATAAATATACACATACTTTGGATTAAATGACTTACTGCATTAGAAACACAACATTAGAAAGCTTTAGAAAGTATGTTCAGTGTATTTTGACAAATGCAAACGTGCTGAAAGCGTGACATGTTCCATGAAACAGTACAGAGCTTTAAAACTGTGGAAAAAAAAATTCAGTTTCCTACTTGCAATGTCTATGGCTACACCTCCAACCTTGTACAATTAACAATCTTGTACCATTAACCATTATTTCCAAACTTCACCATTAAAATGTTACTGTGCATTTAACAGCATAGGAAAATGCCCAATAATCTTAATTAGAGCTTGCCAGGGAGCTAATTTTAACCCCCTGCTACCCAACCTGAAAACAGCAGGGAAAACACTGGAAGAACTGTTAATTTTTATCACCTTTACCCAAATACTGTCCAGCCAGAAGCAGATGCACACATTTCAGAGAATTCTTTGCTCCAGAACACTGAACTCTTAAGCATTAAACCTTTGAGATGAATTTCAAACCTGCTGTTTGACACCACTGGAGAAATGAAATCACTTTTCAGAGCTCATATGAAATTGAAGAGATCCCATTTAGTGTGCAAAACATGAAGAAGGAATGTGCTGCTTCTGCTAAACCAGATTTACCAACAGACTGCTTTGGTTAAGGATGCACCAGCTACAGGATTTTCCTGCACGGGATCTCTGATGAAGGCTGAGTTGAAAAAATATCAGTGATTTCTCATTACAAGCATGTTGTCAAAAAAAGGATTGTGTTTTGTAGCTGTCACACAGCTCAATCACCAGCAGTACCTGCAGTGACAGAGCAGATATCCTTCCACAGCAAGAAAAACGTAGTGTAAAATAAAGTGATTTTGTTATTCTAAATCTTACAGAAATCCACTACCATTACCAATGGAAAAACAAAACAGAATTTTGAACATATACATCAGGGACAATTTGGCTCCAGAAGGGATTTCTGGAACTCACCTATGGTGCAGTTTGTGGTTATTTTTCTTCGCTTGGGGTTGTGTCGTAGCAATTCTAACTCTCTCTTGGTCGGCTCCCATGTTGAATACTTCTCTCCAATGCCTAAGCAGATGAAAACAAAGTTTCAGGAAGTTCTTTAGTAAAAGGATTAAAAATTCTGTTCAAGTCAAAACTTTCAACATGCTGTCCATTAGGTTAGATTCAATTTCAGTTAAGGACACTGATTGCTTTTTATCCCTTCTCAAAAAATATGGTTTGGAAAGGTATCACCAAATTTTCAAACTAAGAACTAGCATAAGAAAACAAAAGTACTTCTTTACTTATAAAGAACAGTTAGGCCAATAAAATTCCCATTATTGGATTATCCTCCTTTCAGTTAAAAAAAAGAAATTCCAGCACAAGAAGAAACTTGCTATTACTCAAAAATACATTTCTTTGTGCTCAGAGGAGGTTAAATGACACCACCAGCATTGATGAACTTGCCAAGTTATTAAATAAATCTAAACTGATCCAACTTAATGGACAGATAATCTTTAGAGAAGAGCAGAATTTAATAATTCAATTTACTGAACAGTTACTACATGTATATGCCATTACACAGAATGACCTCTCTTTATACTATTAATGAAGGATTAGACAAACTAAAGTTTTAATTTTTGACATTCACTTTGTTGACATATCTAATGTTATCTAAAAATGAAATTAGTAGTAGGTTTAAACACCACCCTCCCTCCATCAACCAATCAAAGCTCTCCAAATATTAAACTACTCTTTCTCATGAGCTAAAATCTGTCATTATTCTTTTTGAAGACCAACACTGCATTTCCAGTAGATTTACTTTGTTCAAAGGGAAGTGCAGTAGAAGTGAGTCAGGTCAGTAGTATGGAGACCAGATCTGAAATCAGCACAGAGCTGTGTTCAGTGTAAACCTGATACAAGAAAAACACAACAGTGAAGACTCACGTGCTGACCAGCTCAATACTGCTGCAGCTTTCTATGTAGCACAGAAATTGCTGTGCAAGGTCAATTATTGTGAGTCACAAAGGCATCTTGGCATTAAAAATAAAGAATTATAAGATGGCAAGCAGTCTATTCTAAAACTGAGAATTAAAGTCAATTAAGAGTTATTTTTCACAGAATGCATGGAGCAGAAGCAGCGCTTTGCTACAGAAAATAAATTATAAATCATACATATGAAAAGGATAGTAGAAAAATATAGCTGGAGGCTTACACATTCTGCATAATATACATTAAATTTTAATAGTTCTTTGATCTTCATTTTCAGAAATAGCTATGCTTGTCAGAAACTACCCTCCCAAAAATGTTCAATTCATATTTACTACTGACCCTCCAGGTTCTAGTAATAGGTCTCATTTTTAGATTCTCAAGGACTAGAGAATTCTTATTTACACAAATACACCCATGTCTCACTTTATTTGATTCAACAACAGATTATGCAAGGAACTTAAGGAACAATACCAGAATCCCTTTCCTTTATCCAAGGTTTAGCATCAAGCTACACACCCAGGAAAACAGAAAAGGCAGGGAATGGCTGAGAGTGATGAGATAACACAGCTGCAATGCTTTGGACACACTGCACGTCTGCAGAGACCCCTTGGAGATGCACAGATGGACACTTCACAGGGATGGAACATTGGCTTCCAACAGGTTTGGCACTGGATGTCTCCAGCAACCCTGGTCATATTTGTAATGCTCCCTTAGGAATTTACATAAATTCATTGGTAACACTGTGTTAGTAGCAGCAATTGCATTGTGCAGCTGTAAATTCCTGTGTTTGGGTTCACTGCAGCTAAAACATGGCCAAACACAGCCAGTCAGTGTGATGAACCCTGATAACAATTTAAAAATACCCCCTTGGATATGTTTAAGTCCTGGTTTAAGTCAAATACAACGAAATTCATACCTGCAAATACATGTGCACTTTAGGCATGCAATAGCTCCACATATATCAGCAGCACTATTCATATATATTTATATATACCTATATATAATTATATAGTTTAAATACTGTAGAGGATGGGACTAAAGCATGTCACAAGAGCAACTCTAAGTAAGGTTAAACATGACAGACTGGATTACTTTTAAGGATTCTGGGTGAATCAAATATTTGTTCAATTTAAAAGAAATGAAAGGAAACAAAACACCATGTGCAATTAATGCCACAAACAGAGCAAACCAGACAGAAAACATTCTTGCAGAAGCCTTTCATTAGAAGGAGCACAAATTAAGTCAGAGACAGAAATTAAAATGTGTTCCATTCCAGCTATATAACTTAGCAGGAATGCTGAGGTTATATTACTCTTGAAAATTTGGAAAAGGCAGAGCCATTTATTAGGAATGGTTTGATGTTTAAAAATGAAAAACTACAACAAAAAATAACCAAAAGACAAAAGGAAGGAGGTTTAATAAAAAGGTTTAATAACACTCACAAGCATGCCAAAAACTCCAATATAAACTATCTTAAACAAAGATTTGCAAACCATGCACAGGTCACCACTTACAATTAACGAAGTGTTAGAGAAGTGAAAATTAGTCATTTTTTAAAATGCTGCTATAAAATAGTCAGAGATTCAAGTCAGCACGTGAAATCTCCATCTAAGAAATTATTTTATTGGGTGAAATACTTGAATTGGCATTTCTTAGAGAATTCATCAGGGGCATAGAGATGAGTGAAGGAAAAGGCAGTGAAGGCTCAGGTTTATAAAAGTTACAATTTTTTCTATCATTGCTTGCTCTGCTACACTTCAGCAAATTCCAAGTTTTCCTCTCCCAAAAATTCAAACATTAATTAAAACAAAGGGCTCTGTGTATTCTCACCTCCCCTGTTATTAATATTCAATACCAAAGGAAAAAATACTGGCCAAGTTGCAACATTCAGAGTTACATCACATAACCCTGAACTACAGCTGGACTGGGGAACTCAGCACACTGGGAGTTAAAACTACAGGGGTATGAAATGAATCTCATGGTATTGGGGGTTTTCTTAAAGTTTGTTTGTTTTTTGGTTTTTTTTTTCTCCAGGCATCATGTTGTTATGTGAGCATCTATGAAAGTATAAACTAACACCCTTCAAGCACTGTGGAAAGAAATTTCAAAATATACTGCATTTACCCTTCAGTTTTTAAGCCAATCAGTTTCTGCAGACTGGATTCACTTCTGAAGTTCTTAAAGTTGGCAACAAGATCTGAGGTAAATTAACTGTGTGGTAGCAATATAGACCCAAGACATTGAGTTTGGGCTTTTTGCTCCTCTTGCCATTCAGTTTTGAACAAGAAGGGATCTTTCAGATGACAAGAGGGAGGGAGCATAGAGATTGGAACAACAGAGAGAGAAGGTAAAAACCAGACATAATTCTCCATTATTTCTCCCATGTACATTTCTCACTCCTTAGATAAATTTTTGAGGAAACACATGGTTTCATAATAAAAAGACATAAAAAAGAACCTATGCCATGACTTTGAAGAAAAAGAAGGTCTACACTGCAGACTCCAGCAATTTGAAGTGTTGTTGTCTATTCCTTCATTTTCTGTCTTTACTGGTCACTACAGATTAGTTCTCCAGGAACAGAAGATGGAATGTGCATATTCATACAAACATGCATTTGTGTATACATATTTAATATACCATTCAATAGCCAGTTAATCAGTGCAGAGGCTTCCTGCCTGGCAGTTCCTCTGGGTGATTCTTTGACCTTCTCTACACAACTCTGTGGTCCAAGATGACCAGAGGAACAATCTTGTAGCTGTAATTCCCTGGAATATAAACTACAGCAGGCTGATGTCCATGGCAGGACAAAGTGGCTGCATCTCAGTCCACAAGGCACAAATGTATCAACTGACGAGGACAACATAACTAAGAAATTACTCTTTAAATGTGCATATTTAAAAGTTAGGAACTGAGGGAGGTTTCCTCTTCTATGGCATAATAAAGATCTGTTATGTAGTTGCAGCTGATTCATTTGGTGCCCCAAACACATACTGAAGGAGTTTCTAGAATAGGTACAGAGTTTGGATGAAAGGTTTTTAAACCTATTCCCATTTTGTCTTGCTTTGAAAACCAGTGCTTTGTGCTGAAAGATTTTAAGGTGCATTTCCTTGTTCTAGGACTCACTATCCTCCTTTCCTCTGACTCCTTTCCCCCAGACAGGGAACAAGCAGGAAGCAGCCTGGCATCTGTAGTAGGAACCAAGTGAAGGCAGCTATCTTTTGAGCCAGCAGAAAAGCTCTCGTTAATACGATGTTAGCTGCTATTTTTAAAATTGGAAATGAGGTTAAGAATGGTTTGAAGTCATATCAGCCCTGACTAAGGCTGTCACATTGAAACAGGATGCCATGGATTCCAGAAGAGACATTACTAGACAGAAGTCATCTGTCTTCAAATACAGACTTTCCCACTTTAAGAAAACATACCCCCCAGAGGCCACTGGAAATGGAAGATGACAAGCTTTAAAAACTGATGCTTACAAACTACTTAGTTTAGAATAAATTATATTACCTTTCCAAACAAACAAAAAAAAACAAACCCACAAAACCAAAACCAAAAAACCAAAAAAGAGAAAAGGTATGTTTTGGAGGAATTCTATCAAGGAAAGAGCATATGAAATCAAGTCTGCTGCAATTATTCAATCACTGGAACATATCCAAACAAGAGGAAAACGATTTGCACGATCAAACTGGCATTCTTAACTGTGATTCATGTCTAAAATGGCAGGATAATCAGCAAAGGGACGCTTGTTAGTGAGGTGCGTCGCCAGCCCACGCCTCTTACCTGTCATTGTACACTGGTAGTGAGAAACCACTGTTGGGGTGAAGGCTAAAAAAGAAAAAATTAGGGAAAGCAAACTGAATAAAACAAATGTGTGTACATATATTTGTGTGTAAATATTTCTACATAGATACTGTGCGTGTACCCTGAAAGCACAGGTGTGTAAGTAAGCTGGCATGATCTATTTCAAAAAAAAAGTTAAAAAAAAAATCACACACAAGGGTGGCATTTCATGTGAGGGGAACAGAGCCTGTACCACGTAAATAAGCCTAAAGGAGCAGACTGTTACATTCTCTACCTAATACAGATCTAACTTTTGATATTATGCACTTTTTTTCAGGATTAATGTCAGATATTTCTGTATTTTTTTTTTTGTAATTAAAGATAAAATATTTTTGCTACAATTAGGTGTGGTGCACGTGTTAAACACACAGTCTGACTCCTGGAAAGGAAGAACATCTCTCTCCCATGGCCTGCACTACTCTTTCTAAAGAGCTCTTTCTTCCCCTTAGTGGTTTTTTTTTTTTTTGCCACTGAACAAATGGGAGGGACAGGTATGATTAAAAACAGAAACAAGAAATTCAGGCAGGAAAACCAAACCTTGTAATTTCCAAGCTTTTCGTTGTTCTTCTTTGGCAATTTGTTCCATGTCTTTGTCGTATATGTAATCTTGACACATAAAGCAGTATATACCCCCATACAAAAGGTCTATGGCTGCAAAACAGAAGGGAAGTTGGGGAGGAGGAAAAAAGATGTGAGTTCATAAACCAGAAGGCATTTTAAAGCAGGCTTCCAAGTCAGGCACTCCTTCTTCCAAGCAGTCCACAAAAGAAGAAAAATCTGTACCTTAGAATCTGGAAGGGAAAAAAAAAAAGAGAAAAACCCAGACATTTTTCCAGTTTCAGTGTGAGTTATTCAGTTGCTTCTGGCACAGCAAGAAAACTGTGCAGGACAAGAAAGCATCTGCTGCCTTCAGGCTGTTTGTAACCCAAAATTTACCTTTCAAACACCTGAGTTACCAAGAGGCATCAGGACAGTGACTGACTACAATGCACACAGAACCAGCCCTGTAAGAGTTGATACATAAGTCTGAACTGTCTTTTCCTAAAACTTCAGCCATTTCTCTTCAAGGCCATTAAAATAATTAGGAAGCACCTAGTTAGAATACAAATGAAGGCTCAAACAGAAGATAGCACTGCAAATTCAAAGCTGTTTCTCCAGGGGAAAGCTTTTCCAGGGTAGTTTATTCCACAGGTTACTTCTGTCTCAATTTTTCATTTCACACACCCTTTCAGAATAAACAAATGAACATTGACCAATGTTAAAAATATTTTTCTTGCACAACCTTAAACAAAAGAAAGCCAAGAAACAAAATAAATACCTAACTGAGAAATGTCATTTTACTCCAACATATACCATGGAAAAAGTGCAAAGTAATCATAGTAAACTCCTGATTTTTAGTACACAGATATGAAAAAAAGCCACAATCACAGGAAAGATTAAAATCTGTGGGCACTAACAAATCTTACTAAAACACAATCTGCACCAGCAAACAGCTAAGAAATACATCACCCTTCTCCCTCAAGTGTAGAGCTTTCATTTATTTTGTTTTTAATTCCTTTTATTTCCAGATAATAGCATTATTAGCATAGTCTTACTGCAATAGAAACTTGTTTTAAACACAGGAAACCATTACCACATTAGGCAGCCTGCAAGAAACAGCATGGAATTACTCTGAAGTGCTCAATAAGCCAAACCACATGCCATGCAGCAGGAATTCTGCCATGGATCTCAGCAGGCAAACCCAGGTGAAGTCTCTGTGCTGCCCTGTTAGTGGGGCAGTGCTTGTGGGGAGGGTTTTTGGTAAAGTTCCTTTCTAACCCCATCTCCTCCATCCTTCACAGCCTCTACCCCCTCACAACCTGCTGTCCCTCTCCTTTAGTCTGTTGCAAGCTGCTTTTTTTCTCCTTCCTCTCTTTTAACATCACCTTTTCAATTATTATGTCTGTTGTTTGTTATTACTCCTATTATTCATTAAACCAAATTACTTTAAACAGTTTTCATCTTAATGATGCGCTCCGTTCTTCTGTTTTGCCTGTCTGGGCTACTCAGTTTGTGGAAGAGGATAAGGACTGTTACCTCATGTAAAGTCACAAACTCAGGATTTTCATTACCTTGTGTAATGTCCCAACACCAGAATACTTCCCCCTGATGCCCAGAGGACTGCATAACTCCTTTAGCAGAATATCCCAAAAGGAGGCAAGACTCTGAGCTGTGGTGGAGGATCAGTAATGAAACACTATGCAACTGCAGGAGTGGTGTATCACAACTTATAGATTATTAGAGTTCTACAATATTTACTCCATTACTTACTACATTACCACTTCTGCAGAGTTTTCTACAAAAAAGCTGAAGAAAATCCAAAATATTGGTCTTAAAACACAAACCCAAATACTTTTAAAACATCCCACCAACAGGCCCCCAAATAACAGAACAGAGCTGGCAGAATATTGAATAAAAAGGACTCTGTGAGCACTAATAGTTACAATTTACCATCAGAATGTGTAGGCATAGCTATACTCAGAGGATTTACATGCCTGAACAATGAAATAGAGATGTCACTATCTAAACCAACAAGAGAGCAGAAGGAATTTCTGGTGTAAAGGATCAGAAAGTTTCACAGAAACACTGGTGGAGTTAAAGCTGTCATTGTCCAGCACCTGATTAAGGACTCTTGAGGAAATATCCTCTCTCCAACACACTTATGGGAACAATGCAGTTGTACATTGCCAACACTTCCAATGTCTTTTTAATGACTGCAAGGGGTTTTGGACAAATTACCTCAAGAACCAGTGGCAAGGCAGCCACACAGGCCAGGCCACAGCATGGAGGAAGGGCAGGACTTTCTCGTGGAACCCGAACACAGCTGCGCAGGAAAAGAGTCCACTAGGAAAGTTTGGGAGTTAATTGTTTCAGGTTAATGTAATTTGATTTTTTTCCCTTGAAATACACTTAAACTTTCTTATGCTGGCTGTCTTGAGGTGAAGAAGAACAGAGGAACCACTGAAGAGACGGTTTTACTGACAGAAACTCTTCCCAAGTAAGCAATTCCCTTGCACTGACTGAAGGTGCACCACACCCAAAGGACAAAGTCCACACAAAACTTTCTCCCTCAAAGGACTGGGGGGAAATGAAACAAATTCCACCTCACTGTTAGGCTAAACCTTTTTTTGTTTTAAACTGAAGTGCCATAAAGCTCTATCCCAAACTGAAACACCTGGCCAGAAAATTCCATAAAAAATACGACAGTAAAGCATGAGAATGCACAGGTAGCAAACTTCACCACTGGTACTTGTGTTGGTATTTTGGATCACAAAACTAACAAAAAGGCCTCAAATTCATAAAAAGTGTGGGAGCTACCAACCTAAGAATAATGCCCAGGTGTTTTGGGATAACCCACTGCCAAGTCTGCCAGGATGCCCCACATTCCTCACGATGAACATCTCTTTTAGGGAGCTCCTGTGGAATGGCTGCTACTCCCAACTTCCAGAATCTGCTTTTCCTAAAACCACTCCAACCCTTCTCTCAGGAAGGTACAGAGGGCTGAAATCAGTGAACTTCAGTTTTAGCTTAATGCACACACAGAATTTATTATCCTTGGAAAATAAAATATACAGCAAGTAGAAATCTACCTTTTTCACAAGGAAGAACCAAAAGCAATTTAAAAGAATCACAATGTCATTTTATTAAATTTGATCAATCTAGATTCCTGGTTTAGGAATTCAAAATACCTACTTGGTGATCACAGGCAGAACAATTTAAGAATGAAAAGACCTCTTGGAATGCAACATTTTTCTCTGCTTTTATACCTTCTGTGATGACAAGAACCTTCCCTCCTTTAAAGTCTGATCTCCTCAGACTCCTTTACATACAAAATTATAAGCAGCTGCAACCCAAGAGAGGAATGAAAATATATTTTATTTTTCTTTTAAAAATAAAACTATCAGCCTGGAGAAACAAGGAGGCAGCACAGAAGATCATGTAGGAACAACAACAACTTTATCTATGGTGCAAGGAACACTAAGTTTTAAAAAACAACATCTCTGGGGTGAAAGTTTAAATCTGGCAGCAAGAAGTCTTCAAACTGCATCTGGGAGCCAAGTAAAGTGTTTTAGTTAAGCCCAAGTGCTTACTTTTCCAACAATATCCACTGATGTCCTTGTGAAAATGTTAGAGACCAGAGATTATGGGAATACAGCAAAAGCAGGGAAGTCTGCCACCTCCAGAGTGTGCCTATCTCATCCAGGTAAAAAACCTTGGATGTTCAGTTGTTGAAAGATCCAGGTGAAAAGAACTAACTTTGCTCAGCTGGGAATGGGATACTTCACCATAATATTTGATACCATTCATCAGATAGGAGATATTTGTGAATTGTGTTGTGGTATCATCTCCCTTGGATCACTGGGTGCACTCAAGTAGAAAAAAAAAAAAACCATCCAGCAGCAACTCAGCATTCAGGTCAGTTTTTACCTGCACTGAAATTAATTCCTTTGTGAATTTCTAAGACTCAGTCTTGGCACGTTATCAACCTCAAATCAACACACTCTGTGTTCTATGCAAGAAACCTGCATTTCCTTCAACTTCTGTAACAAAGGAGGCTAAATTGGCAATTCTTTCAGACCATTTTAAGCCAACATCCAAAGCTAATTCGTGCTCCCTGATTTCTCACCTTGAGTGTTAATCATTAAACCCATTCCAGGTAATTGGCTCAGGTTCCCAAGAAGTGATTTGTTAAACTTCAGCCAGTTCTCCACTGGATCTTGTCTCTGATCCATGAGCACAAAGAAGGCATCTGACTGCCTTCCTCCCCATTTCCTGGCACCTGCAATCTGTACCACAGGTCAGAATTCCTGAACTGGTAAGAAGGGAGGAAAAGAGGTGGAAAAGGGACTACTCCTGCTAAATTATGATCCAACCATTGAGAACTCCAGGTATTTACTGTCAGGAAAAAAAAAAAAAAACAAACAAACAAAAACAAACCCAAAACTTCCTTCTCATGCTATAATCTTTTAATCCACATTAAAAACTATAGTCATAGTCAAGCATTATCCTTCCCTCTCACATTCAGTATCTTCTCCTAATACTCGAGGTAGAACTATTCCATTAAGTGCTGCTTTTTCTTATTTTTTCAAACCAGCAGCCAACAGGTGAGAAGTGTTTTTGTGGCTCTGAAGTCTCCAAGATGCCTACTGGCCCCATATGGATCTAGAATTTTAATGTTTTAATTCATTTTGCCTGCAATCCAAACATGGCAAGCACCCAATACTATCCTACAAACCACTTAACACCAGGAGCCAAATGGGCAGCCCCTGTGCTGTACACTCTGTGATGGTTTAGAATATCATCCTACAACTCCATATGAATCCAAGCCAGGAAAGATAAGATGAAGAAAAAATGTCCTTGTGTCCCTGAGGAGTCTAGATAGAAAATGTGCTTTTACCTGTTAATTTACAGGAACCACAGTGTGTCAAACCATTTTATGTTAAGTTGTTATGAGTGGAATATTAATTCCAGCTCCTTGACCCCATTCAGAAATACATGGATTGTAAGCCCTAGAGCAGTGGGTTTTTATGCAGCTACAAGTGTATGTGTATAAAAAAAAAAACAACAGAAAATATTCACTCAGAAAGAATACTAAAATTTAATCTGGTGTCTGCCCAGGAATTTTCAGTCCAAATCAGGAAACTGATAAATTAATCACTGCTGCAGTTTTGAGATGAACTTTATAGTACCAACCTCTCTTCTCTTTTAGAGCTACTGTTCACAGACATCTTCCTGCTGCTGCTACTCTGGGACTAAGCTACTGTGTATTTTCCTTCACTGAGCAGCTGTAGAAAAGATAAGGAAGAAACCATCAATTTTTACAAGGATAGAATCCACCAGCAGATTCTCCAGGTGCTGAACCTGATTTGGAAGGATTATTTAGGAAGATGACAGAGTATGTTGATGGCACACATTCATTTAGGATAATCAAAACAGCTCCAGAAGGATTTCAAGTTACTTAGCAAATAGGCAATAGCACCAAGAGTGAAACTCCAACCACTAAAGAGGCAGACAAGTAACACCAATCAGAAAAGAAGTTTTGGAGTCCCTGAATTTAACTCTCAAGTAACATTATCAGCTCTGTGTTGAACAGGAGGTTAAGAAGCACAAAATAGAAGTCATGGAAGTATTAACTATGAATGCAAGTCATTAGCACAACCAACTGTCTTAATCCAAAGGGCTGGCACCAGAAATAGACACATTAGAACTGGAAAAGTGAAGTATGATGATGATATTGAGACTCATACAAGTTTCAATAAGAAAAGTTAAAAATTGTTCAGGTTCCTACAGGCGGGGAAAAGGAAACGTCTGACAGGATCAAAAACACGAAAAATCCCAGAGGGGCTCAGTAAGGACTTTGCTCTCACCATTTCACAGCTCCTCACAAAAGACACACAGAGCCCAGTGGGAGTATCAGACTTTCCTGAAGGCTGACTGAGAGGGACTGAGCAATGCAGAGATGAAAATAAGCAGCTCCTACAGCTGGATCTTACCTCACCTACCCGTCACCCACATCCACAACTCACAGAATACATTAAATTAAGTCCAGCATTATTAATATACATTGAACAGGGAGGCAAATTCAAGAGCACAGGTATCACTGTGAAGTCAGATTGTGAATGCCTAATTTAGATGGTTCAGGCAGGCAGAGATAGCGAGGGATGTATTTAAAACCAGTCTGGAATATGATGCTGGAGCCTCCTGAAAGACAGCAGAGAGCTGCAAACACATCCCTGCCATGCTCAGACAGCTGTTACAGCTGAAATCCAGGGTATTTCTTACAACTGTGATTAAGAGTGCAGCTCCTGCCTGTCTCCATGGAGACTGATGTTGGCTCAGCAAAAAGTCACCAAGTGCTTTAAAATAATTCCTCTTCGTTTTGAAATTTCAAAGCACTTAACTTGTTTTTGCCTATCAGATGTTATTTTCCCAACTAAAACTGCAGCAGGAAAAGCAACCAAAAGCACTGGTAAAAGTACAAGAATATTTTTAATGCTCATTTTACATGCAGCTGGAAATTAAACACCGAAATATACATTAAAAAAACAGAGAAAGGAATCTCCAAAACTAGAAATCAAGCAGTCACTTGCACAATCTTCACATTATGAGTATTTGTGCACCAAGTAATTTATATTTAGCTGCAGAAGAATCCTTTTTGGGATGATTCAGTTAAATATTAAGTGTTTTGGCTTAATTAACTCTTGCCCTTTTTACCTAAAGGCTATTCCTTTTGGGACATACCTTTTCTGACACAGCCTTAATTGTCTAATACCAGAGCAATAACCACAACAGTCCCTAACAAGAGCATCTTTAAGAATCTCCCTCCTCCACCATCCAGTTTTGGTTTTCCTTTAAGGAAACACAAGCTAATTCACCACAGCAGACAACAGCAAATTCTGTCTTGCAGAAAAAATAACCTGAATTTAAGCTTCCCAAATACATAAACAGCAGCTGAGAATGTGTGCAATTATAAAGCTTTTTTAAAAGGTTTTCCATAAATATGGTGAGTTTAGTGGTAAAAATATTACAGTGTTTACAAAGTGTCCACAGATAAACAGGTAAATACTGTCAACAGTCTCAATTTAGCACAGTATTTTTTAAACCTTAAATGTGGCCATAAACTTGTATTAGCACAAAAGGTTGTTTTTTATATGTATATATATACACACACACCCACACAACCCTTTTACCAGAAATTCAAGTTTACCTCAAATAATTTGCACTTCCATGTTGGTAAAGATTCCAAAAAAAATTCAGCTAATGAATTGGCTTTAACAGCTCTTTGAGATCACACTCTGCAAAAAGCAATTAGAAGATATCACACAGGTTGGGTTGCTATTTTCAGTTCTCAAAGAATGGCCGAGGTTGGTAGGGACCTCTGAGGTCACCCTGCCCACCCTCTGCTCCAGCAGGGCCATCCAGCACATCCAGGCTGCCCAGGCTCATGTCCAGAGACATTTTGGATATATTTGGGGACAGACCCTCTACAGCCTCTCAGGGCAACTTGTTCCAGGCCTTGGTCACCTTCACAATTGTGTGACAGTCAGACACAACTTCCTGTATTTCACTTTGTCCTCCTTGCCTCCTGGGCACCACTGGAAGAGCCCGGGGCACTTTTTTAACCCCTCTTTCAGGTATTTGGAGCCATTCATGAGGTTCTCCTGAGCCTCTCCTGTGAGCTGAGCAGTCCCAGAGCTCTCAGCCACACCATGATGGAATTTTCAGTACTATTTTCCAGTATTCTGTTTTTCAAGACATTTACAAACTTAAACTATACCACTACTGAGCCTCATCTTCTTCTTTCTTGACACATATGGAGGAAGAAACTATAACGATCTGCTGGTTTAAATAATCTTTTCCATAAATAGTAAACTCACACACCCATTTCTTAAGCACAGGAGTACACAGCTCTGTTGGCCTTCTGGAGCTTCTCTGTCTTCATGGAAAATAAAGACAGTTTGTTCCATAAGCACTTTAGTATAAATTAAATTAGGAATGGTGGCCACGCTGGTCAAGAGGAAATTTATGCCATTAAATTATGCCTTTTTTTCCCTGCTTCTTGCATCACTCCACTAAGAATGTATTTCAATTTGGAGAAAAATTACATCCATCCATTTTAAAACAGAATTTTAATATAGATCAGGATTTTGCATTATAACTCAAAAATGTTCTGAACTATAAGCAATAGGTAATTTGAAACAAAACCAAAGGCTTTTGGTTTTGAACATGAAATAGCACCAAATTTGACAGAACAGAAGAACTTGTTGGCCTTGAAAACAGCATTTTATGAGACTGTTGAGGGAAAGGTACTCCATATGAATTAAACTGTTTTGTTACTACTTAGGTTACTGACCCCAACAGAAACAAGAAGCCAACACAGAAAAATGAAGAAACTCCCCCCGCCTCCAAACTTCAGCAGTTTAAATAATTCTGATTGCTACTTGATTAGCCTTCTTTGTGATAGAAATGATGGGTGTTTTCCTCAGCAATAAAAGAAGTGAACATGACCTCCTGAAAAAAAAAGTTCACTGAAATAAATGTTCTAGTTCCAGGCATCAAACCAATCATTTTTAACACTTAGGGAAAAAAACCCAAAACACTGCCTCCTCACATTTTTATATATAACATTAATTCATAAATACCAAGATACTAAGGAAATTTTAAGCTGTGAAGATAAACTTAACAGTGATGCAATGGAAGTTTAAGCACCAAGTTTAGAAAAACACCACTAAACTAACCCAACCCCCAAATAAGATGATCTCTCTGCCTAATGAGGTAAGTACAATAAAATGTCACTTTACTGGCCTGGACTGGACAGGGATAACACAGAGGATGATGAGAACTCACCTAAATTGTGTCGCTTTGTCTTCGCGTGCTCGTGAATATGTTTCTTTGTAAAACAGCCAAAGAAGACACAGTAGAGGCAAGAGTGGAGTCTGTTCAGGTGGGCACCACACATATGACAAATGCACGACTTTGCCTGAAACAGCAAAACAGACACAGATGGTGAGTGCCAGAAACATCCCCCAGCCCAGGTAACCGGGCACAGCTCTCATGACCACCCTTCCTTTTCACTCTGGAATGCTGCACAACAGCAGGGAAATTGTTCTGTCCTCATGTGCAAAACCAGCAGCTGGAGAAACAGGGAAAACTCCTCCATTTGTCCAAAAGACTTCCAAGTCCTATCAGGGAGCAGGTCTGATGATTCAGATGAACACCAGAACCCAGGGAAAGGAGCTGCCCAGCAGGGAGCTTAACTGGAAGAGGCAGGAGTTGGGTGGTGGGACCATGGCAAAAACTCTGCTTTTTCACAGCACCGACCTCCTTGATGTTCTCTAAAGCTGTGATATAACTTGAACATTAAAATATGTGTGGGTATATGATATTCCATTTCTCTGCTGGGAGATTCTGCCCGATTCCCTCATTAGATTTCTCTACATTAGTCCAAAGAACAGTGGCATAGTATCAAACCCATACCAGCCAGAGTTACAGAAGTTGCCTTTGCCATTCCGAGACTGGCTTTGGACCAGGGGCTGAAAGCAATGGGCTGAACTATCCCCCAAAACTAGCCAGAATGGGCAGGTCTGAGGAAAGTTGCCTTGATTCCTTGTTAATTAATAAGCACACATCCCTGGATATGACAGTCTATGACAGCAATATATTTTAACAAGTGAGTCTTAAGGACTAAAAAAAGTCACTGGAAGGTTAAATAGACTTTTTAACTCTTAATCATATTTGAAGCACTCTAAGCCAACAGCATCCAAACTCATCTCTTCACATTAAACTAAAGTACCTCAATAATTTTAATTGCTCTGTTTAATAAGAGACTTAAGAGAGTCTTGAGAGTAAGTCTTTCACTCAACCACATTGAAAGTAATTTAGGTTCAACACCATCTGACTGGAAGTTACAGACAGGAGAAATTCCTTGCAATAAATTCACTTTCCATCTCAGAACTGCATTCAGACCTATGTCTATGGGCAACTGAACTTCTGTAACAGCTTAGAGCTACAAAGAACACTTAGAGGTATGTCTGATTTACAGCCTAATCTGAAAATACTATTTCTTTGCTTGTCAATATAGAAGGACCCTTTTCGTACTAAAAAAAAATAAGAACTGGGATTACTAAAATCCTAAGATATCATCTAACCCAGGCAGTGCATTTCATCAAAAACAACCCCCAAAATTCTTCAGTAATATTTGCCCAGTCTGCCACAACTTAAAATTACTGCTGAATAAATGATGCACAATCTTGTTCTCTAGTCTGGCATTTTTCTCTCAGAATACTTTTGGCTTTTTTAAAAAACCCTCAAAGCAGCTTGCAATATGTTGCACCATGTAATTTATTTTCAAGCTCCTACAAATTAAGACTCAAATTCTGAATCTCACATGTTGTGTATTCAAAGTTATCATAAGTTGTTAGGGGAAAATGTTGAATCGAACTCCACACACCTACAGAAAGAAATATTTTAGAGTTGGGCCAAAAAAAATTCACCACCACCAGCACAATTTCCATCTTTAGAAAAATGCTGCAGAACTGTCAAACTGTTGCCTAACGGCCGCTCGTTGGCTGCAAAAGCTAAATAGGATCAGCCTATCTGTTAAGATTGCTGCTATGACAACAACTCCAGCAAGCAGCTATTTTACTGAGCCAGCTAAAAATAAATCTTTTAGCATTAAATGTATTGTAAACACATGACATAACAAGCATGTAAAAGCTGGTCATTTTAGGCTAAAAGGCAGAAAATTTGTGTCGTAAGGAGTTTTTATTGCAATGGAAATTAAGAGAAATTGAAGAATGTGTAGGAAATTTAGTGATAAGTTGAAAGAGCAGTTCAATGACCTCTTGAAAGGAAGCTATTTTATCCATATCCTCTGTTTGTTCAGTATAGCTCAAGATGGCTTTTCTAAAGTTGTAAGAAAACAAGGTTAAAAGACAGAGTGTGGAAAGAAATCAATATCAAAAACCATAGTGGCTATTCTTAACCAGATTAGCTGTCTCCTTGTCATCTGTCTGTGCTTTTAAACAATTTGCTAAGTTAAAACAAAGCTGTCACTCTCCTACCCCACCCCAAATAATCAAATTACTTTGTTTCATAATACTCCCACCCTGCTCACATCTCTTGAGGCTACAGTCTAAGATGAAACAGAATACTGCAAATGAGTAATGAGGAGCAGTCGGATCCATACAGTCACCAGCTTGTTTTAAAACAGCATTCAACTTTTTCAAAAGGCAAGTTAGGTCTTGCTTATGGTCTGGATACTTTAGGGAACTCAACCAAGATCTCAGCTATACAATCAACCTATCACTTCTCCTCCCCCAAGATACAGGAACATCCCTTCCTCATCCAAGAGTTTTCCCCCTTCCTTCACACTCTCTCCCACTATTATTCTGCTCCCTTCCTGCCTCCCTCCTTTATTATCCTCACCCTCAAGTACCCCACTCTCCATCTTTCACTGCATCATACACAGTCCCTCATCTTCATGTCCACAGCCAGTTCCTTCAATCCACACTAAACCTCTGTCTGTCCCCTTTATTTTTGCTCTGATATTCCAGCAAACCACACACAGAAACCAGAGGAGGCCGTGAATGTCTGGAGACATTCCTTCTGGAAGATTATAATCACTTTTTTAAATGATAGGAAAGAGTGGTCCTGCACAATAGAAATGGTGTATGCACATACAGAGAGTTACTGATAGCTCTGACAGCATCTCAATTCCTCTGCAGTTGAGGAATTCCCTCAATTCCTGCATTGCTTCCAGGGCTGGGCTAACTCACAGGCCCAGCCCCAGCAGTGGTTTTGTTCCTTCTACAGAGGATGTTCAGCCCAGCAAAAGAGGGTGCAAACATTAGCGCATGACACACACAGGGGAACTGGCTGAGGTCACCTGTAAGGCAAGGCAAGAGTCCCCCTCTAAAACTGCTCTCAGTGCTGTGAACAGCCATTATACAAAATGAGTTAAAAAAGAAAGCAGCAGGCATCACTAGGTCAAAACCTAGAGTGCTGACACTCCAAATTTTCCCAATTGTCAGAACAGCTTATTTCTAGTTTACCATCAAACCATCAGAACAGCAGTGGGGAAAATGAACACACCCACTGATGTTCTGCCCCTGCACTTCTCAGTCCAACAGCTCCTGCTCTGCTGTCCTGGGCCAGCTCAGGCTCCACCTAAACAAGAAGGTCACACAGGGCAGGAGCATCAGTTGTTCTAGAAACCCACAAACCTGTTTCAACTTCATGTAATACTGGCTCCTCAAACCAACCAATGGCAATGGAAATGAATTATCCCTACAAAGCCAATAGAGCAGGGAAATCCAGTGACCTGAGCCATTACAAACTCTCCTTCCATGTTTGCAGCTATTTCAGAAATAGCTTTAGAAGCACAATTTTTATTTAACTGTATATGATAAGTGGAAAACATCTTTTTAGAAGTTTTCCACTGTGGTACTTAGGAGTCTTGCCTCTTATGCTCACACTAAATTTATCAAAGCACTTGGAGAACAGAGAGGTTTTTAGCTACAAGCTTATAAGCCAAAGACCTCCTACCTTTCACAGTCTGCAAAACATATCCACCCCAAAGGTACAGGGGAAAAGATGGTTGAGGTAACACTAACAAGACAGTGGGAGGCTTGGGAGGTTAAAAGATCACAAGGAAGGTGTTGCCACCCTGTAGGTGTTCACAACTAACTCAAAGAAGCAGATTCTTAAGGCAGTCTTAAAGCAAACACGAGTTATGGATCTCTGCAATGTTTGATGAGGTAGCATTTGGAAAGTAAAAGCTTCACAAACCAAATCTACTTTATTTCCCATCTTTTAAAGTAAGTCTTTTGTGTAAAACAGATATAATGTTTAGACACATCAGAGAAAAAGAGAAAGTATTTAATTTTCTAACATGTTATGATCATTACTGGAAGTTTTTGGTGGGTATGCTTCATTTTCCAGCCCAAACCTTCTTCAGAGACTTTATTCTCAGCCTGCACAGATCAAGGTGTTTGTTGGGCAGGTCTACGTATGCCTACCTAGGGAATACAGTTGTATGTGGGAAATTCTGCCTACATGCCCAAGTTTGCCACCAAAACCTGCTTTGTTCCCCAGGAGCAGTATTTGTGCTCCAGAAGTGTTACCTCAGCTCTGCCAAACTATTCCTTACAAGGTTGTGCTTCAGAGGACTTGAAAGAAGGTGAAAGCAATACTTGTGTAGAGCCTTAGGAATCTGTGACAGTTCTGCAATAAAACTCTGCTTTCTTGAATCCTTAATCCCTTTCAGACACATGAACAAAAGTGAAGAGACTGAGTTAAGGTTTGCAGTGCTCATTACCTTAATAGCAGGCCAGGGGAAAGAAGAAAAAACAAACCCAAACCAGGAAAGTCAAGAGACCTTGGACTGAAATTTTTTTAATATGAAGTGCAAATACCTTCACTGGGCCACAGATCAAGACACTGAAGCAAAATTTAAACATTTTCTCACATATTCAGTGTTCCAGACCTTAATATTCACATTTTAGGAACACTCAATCCTCTCTGGGAATTTTTGCCCATTCTATTCCCCTTGCTATGTTTAGATCACAGCCTGGACACAGGGTTTTATTTTTATTCTTATTCATTCATCTTGCAACCAATTCTCTTCCAGATCTAAAGCAGCCACAGCAGCTCATGTTGAGTGATGAACAGTGTGCTTCCCTTGGCCTATTTTTTGAAAGGAAAAAAAGGACAGATAATCACAAAAGGCCATGAAACCAACAACTGCTGAAGATGGAGACCCTATGGCTATTCCAACAGTGGAGTTTCTTCTGCCCTGTGGGAGGACAGAGCCAGTATTAAAGCACAGCCAAGAGCATTTATTACTCCCAAGTACTCTGCACCTCAAGAGTAACAAAAATGGGTCAAATCTGCCTTACAACAATTCTGTCACTCCTTAGTCTGTATTTACTCCCAGACTCCCCGTGCTGTGTTCCTGACACCAGCCTGTCACAAATCCAT